GATAGATAGATAGATAGATAGATAGATAGATAGATAGATAGATAGATTCGCTCCATGTGAAAAAGACAGGAATTAAATAATTTTGTTTCTCAGATTGAACCCTCTTCAACATAGATTGTGTGTATTATTCTTCTTCTTCTTATTCCTTTAACCTGCTGCTCATGTGGGGGCCTCCGCTGATCTTTCTCCCCCCAGAATCGAACTAGACGAGAAAAAGATGACACATGAAAAGATGACATCGGGATAAACGAGAAAACTAGTAATTTTAAACATAAATCACGGCGGTTGAAAGGCGTTGGGCGACGCCCCCCCGGAGTAGTGATCCCGGAGTCGGGTCCTCTTAAAGGTGAGGCTGAGTTATGGGGTTAATAAGGGGGGCCCGCTCGTTAACGCCAGGGCTTGATTAACGCCGGACGAAAAGGAGGCTGAAATATCAGGGAACCTTTTCCTGCTAAAGTTCAGCTCCGGGGACAATCCGGTTTCTTTTCCCATTCGTCTCGGGTAAACAGAGTGATGTGGAAAAAGGCCCAGAGTTGAGGAGAAGATGGATTAGATTAGTCGGCGTGACCTTTGACCTCTGAGGTGCCCCGAAAGATGTCACCGGCTATGAGTTTTTCCAGTTTCCCACCATTAAGCACGACAACACGAAGCTCTCCGGTCCTCCATCTTTATGACCTTTATTATTGTTTTTTGTTGTTATTTTACTTGTATGCTCAGGATCTTAAAAGGTTCTTCTCCAGATCATCCTCAGTTTTAAACCTCATGCACTCATACTCAGAGACGAGAGTCAAGATCAAACCATCATGCTTCCACCTCCATGCTGGTTAGAAGAATGTGGATCTTATATATATGTAAATAAATTATAAGTATCGTACATTATCATATATTAGTTTTAAATAATTACATATTTTATTTATACAATATACATATGTAAATTATAATTAGCGTATATTATCATATATCATTTTTAAATAGTTACATTTATTATAAATGATTCAACGCATATAGTATAATATAATATAATATGCGCATTTAATTAAAGTGACCAAATTATTTTTTGTTGTTATTTTACTTGTGTGCTCAGGATCTCCTCCGTCTCAGAAGTTTCTCCAGATCATCATCAGTTTTCAACCTCATGCACTCATACTCAGAGACCACAGACAAACCCAAACCACCATACTTCCTCCTCCATGCTGGTTAGAAGAATGTTGATCTTTTATATATAGATATATATAAATTATAATTATTGTACATTATCATATATCATTTTTAAATAATTACATATTTTATATATATATATATTATAATTATCGTATACTATCATATATTATTTTTAAATAATTACATTTATTATAAATAATTCAACACGTATAGTATAATATAACATAACATGTGCATTTAATTAAAGTGACAAATTAATTTTTTGTCTTTAAAGGGTTCAGAAAGGGTTAGAGGCCCCCCCTCAGCAGGTTCCAGCTCTTTATGAGGCCTCTTCATCAGTTCTCTGCACATAAAAACAGCTCATCTGGTTAAACGCTTGCCGGGGTGGAATAACGGCGGGGTTTTTCTGGGAAAAATCATATTCGGCGACGCTTAAAAAGTTGCTCTAACCACCAAACTTTGGGTTCTGTTTTGCTCTGGGGGGCGTGAACGAGCAGCTGAACAACAATCGGAGAGCAGGGCTCCAAATTGGCTCAAAACGGGGAAGCAATCAAGACCCCCCCCCCCCCCCCCCCCCCCCCCCCCCCCCCCCCCC